AAGAAATATCACCACAGCAATTAGATGCGTCGGTTCTCCGGTGGCTCACAGCAAGTATCCATCTCGTACAGCGTGATGTTTTCTCCGGCGCTTATACTCTTCAACGTCCTGTAGTCACACAGTCGCGTTCGCATCACGCCGCCTCCTGGATATGGTTCAAACATTGTAAGTACCGTTCCACCGTTTCATTGAACCCACGTCGTTTTATGAGACAGTAGCTAATTCTCGTGTGTGATCGGCATCCTCAAGCATCGGTATTCCGCAACCCTCTTCTCCCCATGTTACTGCAGATCTATCAATGAGAGAACTCGAGGCTCCTGTGGAGCCAAGGTTGAGAACGATTGACCTACTAGCAACATTACTCCGTAGGTAGAAATTCTGGAATAGTTCTTGACAGGGCAACTATAGCTAAGCGCTTGGACGGAAACTTCTAACCAGCATTGCGTCGTCTTATCGGAGTGTATCACGTCGGTTTCTCTTCCTTGTGTCAATGACTCGCGATTCTTTGTTTCAGTTAATACAAAGTGGTAAGCCTGCTAAAACCCAGACGTCTTCTGCAACCAATAGAGTTCAATTCTCTGCCGGCACTTGTTAATTTCGCAAGTCCCATTCAAAAGCAACACGTCTAAACTTCATTGTAATTGGTTGTCGGCGAAACTCCAAACCACGCTCTATCTACCTACTGGGAGGTCCCCTTGGCCTAGTCTACTTGGAACAAGTAGCGCTCCACTTCCCTTGACAGGTGATCACATGTCTTCCCGTCTTTGTCATGTCACCTCGTATTTCTACTTAGCTACCGCTATCCGGAAAGACTGGCGCTAGATCTATTTTAGTCCCAGAAATCGCGATGTCACATGGCCTAATCCGATTGTTCGTATCTCATTATAGCAGAACCTTGTTCTGGTGATACTGGTACCTGGTGCAATACTCCCAAACCATGCCTATAGCCAGGAGGCTTCTGGGCGAGTCTGTGGGACGATTCGCCAGGGTATCTTTACTTTACACGTTCCTGGCATACCAGGACTCGGAGGAGAACATGGCATTGATTAGGTTTGCCCTTATCATGTGCATGGGTATCTACTGCCCACCAGAAGGTAATGGCCGAGTCATGCGCGAGGGCTAGCTTCTGCATGAAACTCTTTGTAATGTGCTGTAATATGTATTGTTCAAGAGACTCAATCTTGGTAAACAAATGAGTATAAGTATCTGCATCCGATTTATATGCCGGTCGACCGACCAGGTTTATATATAGGCGCGGCTTCTTATTGAGATCCCTTGACCTCGTGTTGTTTCTGACCGAGGCTATTATAGAGGGTTAGTAACCGAAGTCGGTCATGATGTTGTGATACCGAACCGTTGATATCTTGGAACTCAGCGACTCACCCTTTAGACTTGTATAAAAGAAGCCGAGGATGTTGTTCAAACCGCATCCACAAACATGCCTCTCCATCGCTTCTATACCCCCGTCGGATTCTATTCCAAGGAGGATAAAGCTGCTGTAGTCAAAGCTGTACAACAATGCTACCCCCTCCTGCCCAAATTCTACGTCGTTGTCATCTTCATTGAGGTGGACAAAGATAACATCTATGTCGGAGCGGAGGCTACCGACAACTTTGTCCGCGTAGTCGTGCATCACATGGCCGCCCATTTTAGGTACGCTCTCAGGTTACTATAATCGATGCGCGATTGAAAAGGCCACGCAGCGATGAATACAAGAAAGAGTTTATGCAGAAATACGAGAAGGCATTAGAGCCGTTCATCAAGGCAAGAGGTGCTGACTGGGAGATACAGATTGCGGAGATGGACGTGAGTACCTGCATTTTTGTCTTGGGAAATGCAGTACTTGAAAGCTGACGGGATCTATTTCACTGCAGCGACGCCTGTGGGGAATAAACGGTATCAATCCCCCACCACGAAACTCGGAAGCGGAAACGCTCTGGATCAGAGAGAACAGACCTTCAGAGTACTAGATTCTGTCGCGAGACGAAGCGAGTTGCTTGATCATACGTAGACAAACGTCCCAGACTACTACCTGATGAAAATTAGATTCCTCATATCTGTGTTTTGTTCTTGAATATTACGGGGGAAAGCAGGTGAATTTATACAGTTAGTAATGTTCCCCGACAATGGGTATTGTCTTGCATGATGCAACTGACGGTACATTATTGGTATTTCATGTACCTGAGTCTTCAGCGGGGCGCGGGCACATGGTTCCGCCATGACTGCAGAATTGATTCCTTAACGAACACGACGATAGTAAAACAACATACTGCTTCATGCAACGATCGATTGAGTCGGCCCTCGAACTCCAGGTCAACTATCCATGCTCATGAGTTCGTGAATGGAGTGCCGGACATGAAATTCCCATACAGAAGTCCCAGAAGTCCAATCATTTTCAATGACGCAAGTTTCCTTGAACACTGAGTCCAAACAAGGGTCTGGAAGACGAACGAAGATTGACATCATTAGCAGCATAGGAACGCTATGAAACGGGTGCTGGACTTCTTCGCCGTAGGACACTTGACGGAGATCTTCTTGCGGATCAGACCTACCGACAAATAGTACGCCATAATATTTTGCATGTTCTTGATTAATATCCCTTTCCCGAGGCATGCAAGTGAAACCTTGTAGCGTATCGCACGAAGTTCATTACTTGATCATGTCAAATTTCATCAATGATACCGACGTAGAGCTCGTCCAGTAGTATACAGCGACAGACATTCTCGTAATGTCAAGCAAGCAGTTTTGAAGGCGGCAACAACCTGGAGGGCTGTCATTGATTTGAGTTATTGCGTTCTCGCCTACGACGCAGATAAATCCCATGCTCCTATTTTGATGGTACAAACGTCTTTAGCCATAAGTGAGGTGAAAGAGGAAGTAGTGCAGCGGCCACGCGTCGGCCTTCCTCTGCCAATACGTTATATGTCGAACATGCATTTTTCTGAAGAGGAAGGAGATCAGATAATGGATTGATTCTCAAAGAGACATGGCAGACGCACAGTATCCATCGTATCCACTTGGATGCCTAGTCGGCTCATGTATGTTTGAAGAAATGGCGGTGGCTGCACCAATCGCGCACCCGTACCAAAGAGTAAAATTTCTGTTATATATTAGCGCGCGCAATCCAGAGAAGAAAAAAAGAGGAATAACGGACCAGGTCTGGGCGAAACAAGGTCAAAAATCTCCAAGTGTTCTTTCCCCCATCCCTCCCACAAGGTTTGTGGTACATCCCATAGAAACACCTGTCCCTCAAGAAAAATGCATGCCGAAGGAAGGATAAGTCCGTCGACTAGCTGAATGCCTTGATTGGTTATCCTCTTGACTTGCACAGCTGGCGGATTGTCGTCGGCGAGGATGTTGGTCAGTCCTCTGCCTCTGTCGTGATCACTCAGACTTCTCCAGCGTGGACTTGAGTGAAAAAGACGAGATGATTGGCAACAGAACGTTCGATGATGAACGGGAGCGAAAATATTGGTGCGTCGTAGACAGTTCATGGTAAGTGGGAGACGAAGATGACATGACGTCACGGACCCATCCTCAAATAAAAGCATGGCGATTAGACAACATTATGATACATGCAAAGCTACGACTTGAAAATACAGAAATATAATAGAAATACTCATACAGGTGCATTTGAGTGATGCCTAGTCGACCTACGAGTACGCTGAATGTCGTCTGGAAGTGTAGCCGCCTTCCGCTTCTTCCCTCGCTTCGAGGTTGTTGGTTTCGACGATTTATCATCGCTCCCTTCATCCCCCGACTGATCATCATTGTCCTTAGCAGCGACTTTCTTCGGTTTTTTATCAGAAGCGGCGGTTGTTGTCTGTCTCTTCTGCCCTGCCTTGATATTCAGTTCTTCCCAGCCCCCTTGTTCTGACAAAAGTTTTATCGCATCCCAGGCCTTTTTATCTACACGCTGAACACTTAGACGTCCACGAGTGACGAGGTCCATGGCTAAAAAGTATCAAACACAGAAAATCGTCTAGAAGCAGACGGACTTACATCGAATGGCTTCTATGTCTGACTGACCGATATAACGGACCGTTTCTGGTATGGATTCGGTACTCTGGGAGCTCATATGGGAGCCTACGTAACGCAAGAAGGACAAAGGGACGAAGTGTTGTGCTCGGACGGTAAACTTGAGGTCGACCATGAACCATTTGGGTTTCTCCTTGTCTGATTTCTAGAAAGGAAAATGGCTATAAATAATGTGGTAAATAATAAGGAACGGCTCATACAGGGTCGAAGTACGGGTGCGAACTTGAGACACAATGTTCATTAGCATACATGAAACAACGCAGGCGTGAACAACATACGGATCCCAAGCAGTGTCTGCACCAGGATTGAGAGTTCAGTGATTCTTGGCTGCTAATATCCACCTACAATCAGGATATGCTTCCTTGGCGACCTGCGTGAGTCGTGTAAATGAAGGCAAGCGGGATCAGATAGGACTGGCAGACCTCAGCGAACGCCGCGATTCCTTGATGCCATAACGCGTCAAAGTTTATTCCATGACGAGAAAAGACAAGACAGACCAGGAGCTTTGCAATTCGAATGGTAGAAAAGAGCCTAGTCGGACGTCTCAGCGCGTTGACTGGAATCAGCGGTGACACCGAGCCTATTCGTACCTTGTCCCCAACTTTCATCTCCTTCATGAGATTTCTAGCCTCGTAGTTGCGAACACCTTCCCACGGCGATGTACCGACGGTCTCAAAATCGTCGACGCTGAACTATTGGGACGTCTATAAGACCCTACGACAGTCATAAAAAGTGACTGCACCTGCAATATCGTAAATATCATCCAATCCGATTCAGAAACGGGATGTTACCTTTACGTCCTTTCCCTTGACGACGCGGGAGTCGGGTTCTGCCTTGAGCAGCCAAAATTTCTCAGGCTCTGACATGACTAGGAGAGAATAAGAAAGCTAACGCGTCGTACTTACTATGCTGGAGACAATGTGCTCTAGGCATATTTATGTGTGATTTTAGGACGTGTGCGTGACTCCATAGCTAAGTGGTTATAGCATGAGATTGCAGTTATTACCTTAAGTCGGTAATTGTGTGACAATCTCGGGGTCGCGTGTTCGAGTCACGCTGGGGTCTATCTTTTTATGATTGCGAATTCTCTTTCTGAGCCTTTTGAGTTTTAAGTTTTACGTTTTCATGATTCATGAGTTATGAGTTATAACCCTTTGATGTTCAAGCCTACTGTTTCGATTCGTGGAATAATTTGTTCGATACTAAGTAACTTGATTTTTCAATGTAAGTCAGCCTACTAACGGCGGCCGAGCTAGTCTTCGGATGGGAGAGTGTAGGTTGTACCTTATCTTACATTCAGCTTTCGTACTATCGCTAACTTAGTCAGAAATAGTTGCTCGCAACTTTTGCTATTTTTATTAGTCTCTCAAACGGCTTTGGTTGCAGAAGATCAAACCGATCAAACTGCCGCATTAGTCTGGCCGCGATCATGTTGTCAGACTCGCACCTTGATGTGTTCGACCATGGCTTTCCCTCAAGATATACGGGAAGAAATATCAAGCCACCTCCGCCTCGATTTTCCCTCGCTCAAGGCCTGCCCATTGACCCATCCCTCCTTTCTTCTTCCGAGCAACAGGCTCCTTTTCGCGAAAGTACGGGTCCGAGATTCTCGCGGACATCCAACGGATATCTGCCTCGAGCTCCGAAAAGTCCTCGTGGCTTCGAAATATATGGTGGAATCGATCCGTTCGCTCATCCTGGACTTCATTTGGTATCCGAAAGAGAGCGGCATTGGCATCTTTTCATCCGTACTACAGCTCCTCCCGAACCTCCAAAGGCTCTGTGTACAGTTGGCTTTCGGAAACATTCCTATACTCAATGCTGAGTCATTTCCTTCGCCTTGTTCGATTTCTAGTGTTCGAACCCTTATCTTGGAAAAGATACAGTTTGACACCGCCTCTCAACTACATTCCCTACTGGCCAGCTCTAATAACCTTGAAGTCATCACTCTGGATGGAATTAGGATCGAAGATGCCAATGTCACAGCCGATTGGTTCCGAGCCGTCAAAGCTGTTTCCCTTCCACCTTAGGACTCGGTCTGGAGGGGCCCGTCTTGGAGGCTCTGCTCTTCCCACAGTCCACAGTCTCCATAACGAACCTCCGCGTTCTTAGCATCTTGACAGTGACTGACCAGGAAGTTATCACCACTTCGTCTATACTCTCTTCAGTCAGCTTCAACTCTTTGGAGGATTTGACACTACTCCTCCCACTCACAAAATGGTGTGAATCTCGTAGGCCGCATCCTTTCTTGTCTCATTCATTGATGGTGTATCTCTTCTTAGACTTCATAGAGTTAGGGCACCTGAGCCGACTTCGTAGGATCCACACCAGCTTCTACTTCAATAGTCACTGGGCTTCCGTTCATAGGATTCAATCTGATTGGCGGGGGCCTTTTCTATGGGCGCACCCGTTCTTCAAGGAACTCCCTCGTCCATGGAAGATATCCTTCTGGAGATCGTGTTTGGCAAAAACGATGCCTTCCTTTTGCCTCATTTTCGATCGGATTGGCAGGTGCTAGATCGTATTCTTGCTAGCCATTCATGAGAATTTTCGATACGGCTCGGGGTATATGTTGACTATAACTTTGGCGATTCTGGCGTCGAAGACGACTGCTATTATGAGTGGTCAAAGCCCGGTATTCCCTATGAACATCTTCGAAATTTCTTCCAGTATGAAGGCCTGCCAAAAATGAATAGGAAGGGATCCTTGCAATTCGAATTCAAGAAAAGCGCGTTAGATTTTTTAAATAATAATCTTGGACTAATGAATTTACGTTTTGGACCGATGACATACAATTTGTCACGATGGACCCAAGTTTCCTCTACCACTTTCCAAGCCCAATCTGATTCTCAGCACTTTACTACTGCATGTGCGATGTTCGAACCACGCCCATATGAATATTCATCTAGTAGCCACTAAATGCCCTTTTCCACGGTAAGAATAAACGTCTCTCGTTCTCATCTATGATCCTCACTCTTCACATACTAGGACACGATCCACGATCTGAAACTACTCACTGATTTACGGTTTGAGGCTGCCGCCTGCTTTAACACTGCTAGTCAGTATTCAGATGGAGGAGTTCATGTGACAGCCTCGAATCTAAGGACAGACAGACATTAGACCTTTTCGATGGACAAAATCTACGACATGCTTGATTACAATATTTATCAGATGTGTGGGTTCATTGTTTGGAATTTGGAACTTGAAAATCGTGATGGGCATGACCCGTCTCGTCGGGTATACGTCGCAATAGATGAGGGGGACTCTCAGTCTCGGCTCTTGTGAGATTCGGTATCACTAGTACAAGAGTGTCCATGTACCTTCGCCAATCGTCCAAATGTCCATGAATACGCAATTGTGACAGTCACCTTGCCCCCTTCAACCCTTTCTGAAGTATCCAGGTCGAACTATATTCGGCAGCATAGACTACTTGGTTGAATCCTCCTCATACAAGCGGACTCTTACAGCGTTGCTATCAGAACCGTCGTTGCCTCCTGAAGAATGGTACGAGACATAAGAACAAACTTGAGGAAAATGGTGCATGTATCCCTGATTTCGAGTTGATGCCGACCCACCACTCGTAAGTACCGACAACCTAATAAGGTTTGAAACGTCGCGACGCTTTCAATTTTTCCACCTTTGCTTTCGTCTCTTCCCAGCTCTGCTTGAGTTTCATCAAGTCTGCAAACAGAAGCGTAAGGGGAAAAAGTAGGCAAATGAACATATAAAAAACACATACCACTCCGCTGCTTCTCAGCTTTCTGGAACGCATAAAACTCAGTCTTCTCTTTGCTTTCCTTCTTCTTCCGATTCCTATTACTCGGCTCGCCACTCCGCTGGAATTTCTTACTCGCCACAGCAACACCACCACCCACAGTCTGGCCGTATGCACCACCTCTCGTAACAAGCGTGAAGCCATCTTCGTCGACGATAGTCTCCCCCTTGCGATACTTTGATTTCTGCTTCGTTTTGGCCAGCTCAAACTCATACAGCTCCATTGCCGAGTCAGCATACGCGCGCACGGCGTCAAGCGGAGGCCGCAGGGAGTCGTACAAAGTCAGATAATGAGCCAATCCTGAGGGTTCATCTGACGTCAGCCAAGGACGAGGCTTCGTTGGTGGTACGAGGGCGCGCTCCAGCGAGGAAGAATCGAGAAAGACGACATGGGCTGTTTGACCTGTGTGTCGCAGAGTTCGAAGGGGTTTCGTAGGGAGCTGAATGACCTGAGGGGGCAGGGGAGGCTTCGTTTTATTGAGGCGCCTCCGTTTCTTCGGCTGGGTATCTTCTCCTTCTGCAACCCCTCCCTCGGTCTCCATGTCTACTTCCTCATCGCTCTCGCTATCATCGCTTTCCTCCACCATATCCTTTTCTTGGGCATCCTCTGAGAAAGACACCCTTTCTACCGTTCCGTGAGCTTTCAAGAATAGCGAAAGTTCGCGTTCTGTCGCATCTGGAGGTAAATTTGCCAAAAACAGTGTGCGACCCACAGGCCATAGTTGTTTGGCGGCCTTTTTAGAACCCTCATGAGCACGGGCATAGATGTAGTGTATCACGGATGAGGAATAAGACACTGGCAAGGGCACGAAACCACCGACGGTCGACATTTTGAGTGACCACAGAAGAAATTTCACGTGGGAAAAATGTTCGGCTCTGTTGCCGTGCTCTGCCTTGCTATATTTAGTAGCTATGCAAGCCTCCCGTCCATTTTGACCAGCAAGACATATACACCTTCATGAATTACAACAGACAAAAGTAACGAAGTTGGGTTATATTGATATGATTCTGCTACCATGTTATCTGAAAACGAGCACCGCGAGTTCTATAGAAAGGTAGAGCTATTTTTAACAATACAACAAAATCTTACTAGTGCTGTAAGTACGACGAACTAGGAGGATGGACGATGTGTATGTAGTTATGGGAGCGAATTTTAGTCTGATAGAGAATAGACAGACAGACGGACAGAAAGTATGTATATCGACCATCTTTAAATAGGTTCATGGCGGATAAAGATGCTTCTTATCAAGATACCTTGACCTCGTGTCTCCTCTCACCGAGGATATTACAGAGAGTTACTAACCAAGTTCGGACATGATGTTGTGATACCGAACCGTTGATATCTTGAATCCAGCGGCTCACCCTTTGGATTTGTATAAAACTAGCCCAAGATGCTTTCCAAACGGGCGCATCCACGAACATGCCTCTCCACCGCTTCTATACCCCCATCGGATTCTATTCCAAAGAGGATAAAGCTGCTGTAGTCAAAGCCGTACAACAGACCTACCCCCACCTGCCCAAGTTTTACGTCGTCGTCATCTTCATTGAGGTGGACAAGGAAAACTTCTATGTCGGAGCAGAGTCCACCGAAAACTTTGTCCGCGTAGTCGTGCATCACATGGCCACCCATTATGGGTATGTTCACAGGTCACTACAATCCATGCGTAATTGAAAAGGTCATACAGTGACGAGTACAAGAAAGTATTTATGGAGATATATGAGAAAGCATTAGATCCATTTATCAAAGCACGAGGTGCTGACTGGGAGATCCAAGTTGCAGAGATGGACGTGAGTACCTGCATTTTGTCGTGAGAAATGCAGTACTTGAAAGTTGATGGGATGTGTCTTACTGCAGCGATGCCTGTGGGGAATAAACGGTATCAATCCCCCACCACGAAACTCGGAAGCGGAAGCGCTCTGGATCAAAGAGAACAGACCTTCAGAGTACTAGATTCTGTTGCAAGATGAATGCGAGTGGCTTAATCATGTGTGTCCGAACAGATGACGGTGACTACGCCAATCGCGTGCCGTACCGAGAAGTAAAATTTCTGTTGCCAACTATCTGGCGTGCGCAATTTAGAAAACAGTTGAATTGTATGTATATGATATTACTACCATGGCATCTGAAAACAGGCACGAGTTTTATATTAAGACAGAGATATTTCCGACAGAGACAACAAAACAAAACGTTAGGACTGTACGAGGAGCTAGGATGGATGATGTGTATGTACTTGTGAAAACGAATTCGAGTCTGATAGCGAAGAGAGAGAGAGACAGGGAGATGATATGTA